CCCCTATAAACTGAAACGGGCCGAACATTTCTAATTCTTAAGTAATGACGTTGGGAGTTTGCTTTTCAACAATATAGTAAATATTTCGTCTAGAGGGAAATCTTGTATTTTCGAAGTAAATATATTTATATGTTCCTTTCAACATTCTTTATATTAGCCATGACCGTGAATACTGGTGGATATCTATACTAATATTATAAAGAGGAAAGATTTGATTTTTTGTTTGTTTGAAATGAATAGGCTCCACAACTACTGGACAGATTTCAAAAATTCTTTCACAGTTGGTAAGCTACACTATTCCCGAGTGATATAGGCTATGTTTCATTTTCAAAAAAATTAGGGATGCTTACTAAAACTTGAATAATCTAACCCAAGGTGTAAAAAAATAAACAAAAAACTTCCTTCAATCGGGTGCGCTGCGAAAACTATTAATGATAGAACAAAATGATGTATCACAATTTTTCAGGACACATCACTATCTATAAAAAATGTCCCGACAGCATGTCTCTATCTTTTATAGTTACGTCACAATAAGCCTCCTTTTATTAATTTTTTTTTAATTAAAATACCACACCTAGAAAAGGCTCTTTATTCGTACGTAGGTATTGTATTGATCCTTATCAAAATAAATACCAACGTTTCACATAAGCTACAATTTAATGGCATAACCACCAAAAAAGCATGGTGGATTGATGTTCTCCTGCCGTTTCTCTTGAATAGTTTACCACTATGTAATATAACAAAAATCTTAGCCACAGCAACGCTTGGCCGAGTCTACAAGTCTAAATATAATTAACGCAATACAATAACATGTAAGCGTCTTTTCCAAATAAAAATGACAGTAAAACATGAGTTATTTTAGTCACATTTTAATTATTAGGGTAAATGATATTTTAATAAGTAGTCAAATTGTCAAAATATATAAGGTTATAAACTTGGAATGTGTAAAAAAATAAGTTAATAACTTGCAACGTACGCAATGTGTTCAAAATTTTCTCTTCCAGCCTTGCGATTCTGTAACTCACTTTTTGAACTCTCACTGCGGTTTTCACAGCGGCGGTCGCGCTCAAATCAGTCCATCCTACTCCTAAGACCTTATCTATATAGGATGATCTATATAAGATGATCTATATAGGCTGATCTATATATGCAAACACGTTTCAAATGCAATACATTTATTATATTTTTGTGACAAATAATTACATTACACATAATTAATATTAAGTTACAATTTCTAAGTACGTTGAGCTTATAGATTTTCAATTCCTATATCGGCCAAGCGAATAGCTCATAATAAAACAATACTAATCATTGACGTTTAACACACAAATCCATTAGCAAATTCAATTCCATAACTTTGAATCAATAAAACATTATTTACACAATCGAGTAATAAAAATTTTATACACGAAAAGCTTCAAGCCCAAAAAAATTCGAAGATACCCAATATATTTTTAAATTCACATTTATCACAAATGTAACATTTTTTTAATTCTATTTATCTATGATATTCTAAACAGAGCAAAAAACATTAAATCGTCCTGCTTTTCGAGGGTATAATTCTGTCTTTGTTTCATTTCTGGCGACAAGAGTCAACTTAGCGCGCGTACAATGGAATTCTTAACTATTGTTGGCTATTTAAATAATATGTAGCTACAGGGCCTGACCTATTCTATACTTAATCTATATCCCTTAAAAATGCTGACTATTCAGTCGGTTCACTTATAAACTACAATAATACGATGTGACGTAAAATGTATAAATGTGATTAATATAATAGCACTATAATACAAGAATGTGTATCTACAATGAAGAAATAGAACATTACACTCTCTCTGATTAATGTATCTTTGGGGCTATGATACATAATATATATGTTACAGGACCTATATAATAAATAATTATATATGTATATATACCGTGCGCTTAAAATCAACAACATTTTACAGTGCTTGGCCGTTTTTAAAATCTAAAGGATATTTAAGAAACTAAAACAAAACACAAAAACTAGTTAGTTTTTATAAAATAATTAATGATTGAATTTCACATAAAAGTTATTTTTTTAAATGCATTAATAATTTGTATTTGTAAAATAATTGCGTCAATCGGCTTACAAAATTGGGCGATGTTAGGGAAATTTAATTTTTTAAATATAAATAATTTCGAAAAGTGTGCATTAAGAATTCTAATCTCAGCGCCATCTATTTCTATTTTTCATTAGTTATCGGTATATAAAATTCTTTAAATCTGAATTCTAGTTCAAGTAATCTATATGAAATGCTTTAGCGTCTATTTTTTTACAAAAATTATGAATCTACTTCAATATTATTTTGCAATCATTTCTTAACTGTAGGGTATATAAAACATTTTAAAAAACTTATATCTATTTTATGGCTTCATGTATCCCAAAATTTAAATTCTACCAACATTTTATACCTATCTATGTGCACTTAAAATTGTGTGTATTAAAAAACAATATAACAAAATTTATGCATTTTTTTATTTTTCGATAGAAAATAGAGACACAACAATTTGTTGTATGTTTACAATGTCAATTTTTGAAATTGAGTAAAATTAACATATACGTCAAGAATCCGTAAAATTTGAATGTTTTGCCCTTCCGCAACACCTGCTTATCGCAGCGTGACTAATAACCTCCTTATTCAAAAAATTAAATAACTATTTTTACACTGTTTTAATTTTGGTGTTAGAATGTGTAACAAAAACGAAAGGATGGTGCGTTTTGATAGTCTGCACCCTTTCTAGATCAATATCTGACACGCGACCAACCATCTTTCTATTTGATAAATCATTCAATCATTTCCGTTTTAGATTTTCACATCCCTGATGGGTCCTTTCAGTAAAATTTAGTTTATACGAGTAAAGGTGAAAGTCTACATATGTACCACGATGTATAGAAACTCGTATATAAATAAAACTGCCACTGTACGCTACGCGATCCCAAGTTTGCGAATATATTGAAATTGGGAACGCTATCGTTATTGGAAGTCACAGACTACCGCAGTAAAAATGTTCACTCATTACCAAATCATTATTCTTTCTTATCCATTTTAACTCCTCAAATTGTGTTTACGATGTGACGGGGCCTTCTTTTAAAACAGTGTAATACGAATATTTTTATGAATAGGCGATAAATATTTATTTAAGATGACTTAAGCCATCAATCTTCTTATAACGGACGAGGCTTGAAGGACGTTTATACAATGTTCGGTATATTATTTATTGTTGTAATATTGTGACATATATATATATATATATATATATATATATATATATATATATATATATTTATAATTACTTGAAATGTATGTTGCAAAGCAATAAAGACGAAGATGTCACAACACGACACGAGAATTAAAATAATGAAATTGCATTTGTTTCTGGAAAAAAAGACAAATATATAGTATCTTTTTCGTTAATTGTAAGGATCCATATGAGTAAATTTAATTGAATGAGTTTGAATAATTTTAGCGTCACTAAGCTACACTGTTCATATAAAAAATATCTAATACTACTTTCGATAATCATGTACAAATATTTAGAAAATTCTATTTTATATTGCGCTATTCTGTGCTTATCTACGATCTGTGGTTATTTAATGTACTTCAGCTATACCATAACTTTGATAAAGTTTTATACAGTATTATCTACGTATAATGTTTTTTTAAAAAACGCGTAAAAGTAAGATTTTCCATACTAATAACATACCGAGACATCGAAGTCTAAATTTTCCAAACTTATGGTAAAGCAGTACAGTACGTGTATTATTTAATATTATGCAACCCACTAAGTGGAATAATAATTATTTCGTCTTTTTTAAGAAAACTACACAGCGATTTAATAGTTATTTTTGCAGCAATGAAAGAGCGGTAGATTCTAATGCCGGATAACTTTATCCTCTTAAAACAATAAATCTAAGCGGCCTTATTATGAAACTTGATAAATCTCTTGAACAATCTGCATGTTTTATTCAATTTATTCGTTTAGAATGCTTTACAATAAGGCTTCTTCTACACAATAGTACCAATTTTATATAAATAGGTTTCTTATGTTAAAAAAACTTCAAAACTTTACAGTGTCTCCTAAATTGATTATCCATAATGGTATCGTTGTTTACAAATGTTACTCTAGTACTCAAATTTTAGTACAACCAATTGACAAAATTTTAAAGACTGGTCCTAGCACTTTCCTCTATAGTTATATATAACTAATAATAACAAATGAAGGTGGACAAATAATTGAGGAGAAGACAAATAAACTAAAAATATCATTATGAACTATTGTAAATTACGTCCCTCTCATAGTCTATAGAACGGTAAAGGCACGGTCATGATGTGTATGGCACTTATACGGGATTAACCATTACGACAGAAAGAAGAAACATCTTCTAAAGGGTTCAAAACACTATCTAAATTTTAAATAGAGGAAAGCGTTTCAAGGCACATAATTTTAGAAACAACAGTAAAATGGTACATTGAAAATCGCAGCTGTACCACTTCTCCTAGTAATAAAATCAGAGCGACCGCTAGAAGCGTGACCTACGACGAGAAACAGTGAATTCATAGATTAAATTACAGTACGAAATTTCGCATCGAAGTATTCACACACGTCACAAATATTAACAAAGCTCTTTTTCGTCTTCGCACCGACCACATTTCACTAGACACTAGAATAAGTAATTAGCCATCGCACGCACCGTTACTCACAAACGGAATGTGATTTCCGTTAGCTTTTTCGTGTACCCGACAAGAACGGTGCACAGTCTCCTGTCAGAAGGGTGGGGGTTGTCTTCTGTCACACGGGAGGTGGAGACAGGTGCCGCTGCAGAGGTGGCGAGCGGCGTGAAGGAAGGCCGGCCGCGCAGGCGGTGGCGCTGGCGCTGGCAGCACGGGGGACAGCGATCCCGCGCCCGAGGGACTTTCCCGATCGGCCGCGGAGGGCGGGCGCTACACATGTGTGCACGCGCCCGCCGCCACGGGTCAGCCGCCTGCCAGGATGTCCTCGGGTTCTGGTGACCAGCAATTGTCTGACAGCCAACACCCTACTACCACGGTCACCACACCTATCAGCAACGCTAGCACAATGTACACCTCCGCGTTCCCTGTAACATACTTTACCTTAACAAATGGATACAATAAGATGATATAATAATACTTTTGATATTTGTTAATATTTTCTTTTGTGCAACTCCAAAAAATATCTAACATCATCAAATCTTATAATGAGCGTCTGAACGCACTTGACTTAACTGATTTAGGAAGTAGGAGATTAAGAGGAAATCTCATTGAAACCTAAAAAATCCTCACTGGCCACTATAATGTTCCAGGAATTGAGAAGCTCTTTATTTTAAGTGAAAATAGACATTTGAGGGGTAGTTCTTTAAAACTTAAGACCACTCAACATAACACAAATTCCCTAAAGAACTTTCTCCCAAACCGAGTAGTGGCCGACTGGATAAGGCATCCGGAAAGTGTAATCAGTGAACCATCTCTGAACTCCTTGAAAAATAGATTGAATAGTTTCTCCAAATCTCAGAATACACGCGCATCAGCTTATTAAGCTGCTAGTGTGTTTATAAACATAATAAATAAATAAATATGCGTTGAAAAAACTAGCTAGTACATAAGAACCTTTATCATACATTTACGTTTTAAATTGTTGTACAATATTTTATAAATACGCGTAGAGTAGGCTCGTAGTATTTCTCATGAGATAACATTCATTTTCTACTATTTAACTTAAAATAAAAAGAGCTTCCACTACGGTTACGTTATCATTATACAGGCTCTTGTTGTTTATAAAATATAATTGCAGTTGCAGTGTAATTAAAGTTGCGTTATTTTTTATAAGCGAAACAATGCTGTTAATGTATTAACTGCATAGTCAAGATGCCTTAACAGTAGCGTATGTAGAAAGTCGAAAACTAAGTTAGTATGATAATAACAGTTCGTGTCGACAAATTTATGGGTTTTAGAAATAATTATTGGTAAATGCTTGAGAAACGTTGTAAGTTACACAATAATTTTCTTATTCACATTATGAATTATAATTCCGCCTTGAGCTTTCAACGAACAAAAGTAAAAATGCTAATTTTCCAATTCCGTATTTTTACCAAGTTGTTTCCGAATTCCCAGCGGCTGTCTGCTCCGCCACAATGAGTTGATGAGTGTTGGGTCACCCCTGGTCCTCCAATCGCGATAGCCACGCCCTCTGGAATACTGGCTGAATCTGCGCGCAAACATGAAAAAACTTTTCACACTGAAAGCTAAAACAGGCTTGCATGCTTTACCCCTGATTTTAAGTCATATGTGCTCAAATAGCGATATACATTTCATATCTGCATTACAGTACCTATGATGCCAGTGTACAAGCTCACATTCATAGAATTTACGTATCAAAAACATTTATCTCGCCCCTCCGGTAATAAATGGGTATTATCATCTATCTGCATCGTAAGTGGCAGAGAAGACCGATACCGTCACCCCATAATGAGGCAATAAATAGCTGAAGGCTCTGGAGCAAAGCCAAAATCTTTAATGCCGAAGCTGAGACCGTTGGAGGCGGTCCTAATACATACAATAGCTGAAAAGCGAAATTGAATTGTTAGCATTCCGTCTTCAGGATATTCCAATACTAGCATTTCGTGCAGGGTACTTACACAATTTAGGTACTGATTTAGCTATCTAGCTGTGATTCATGCGAATGCAATTAAACTACAGTGTATATCGTGAGAGAACGAAAGCAAGTTCGTTATGTCATCCAATAATGATCGAAATAAAGTATACAACATTAAAAATAGCATTCACAAGGGAGTCATATATTTTTTGTTAGATTGTAATAATGAAAGTGTTTGTTGAACAATTCAATTTCGCAAATCACGAAAGAACCTATTGTTTGTGGTTTCTCAAAACGTAAGCCGTTACTTTCAAATGTTATACAATATAACACTAATTACATAACTTTACATTGATCTTTAATATGCAATTTGACACCTACCTACATTTTCATAAATCTACAAGACGTGCAATTACCCTCATGCAGTTCTCTATCTGCCTACGCGCATTCATCGATCTCATTCGATGATATATTTAACATATTTTTTAATTAAGTATTACAAAATGTTAGTTTTTTCTAAATAATAAGTTACTTACATTATCTCGTCGAGGCCGTTTTGTTGCAGTTGACAACATTAAATAATATATGACTCACACATATTCAACGAGAAATTAAGAAAATAGGGTTTGTAAGTTCAACAGGTGTGTGTGTGTACCTTTACCTTTATTATCTGTGAAGTAATAAGCGTTCAAGAATTAAACTCTATTTATTATTTTATTGTTTTCAATGACATTATTTAAAGGATTTATTTTAGGTCAGTTTTATTTTATATCTACTGTGATATCCTTAGAGAATGCGTTCTCAATATCAAAGGTTTACACGTTGCGTATTAAACAGAGCGTAACTCGTAAATCTAAAGATATGAATAATTTTTGTCAATATATTGACTGTTCTGAATTAAATGTTTTTTGTTGAGCTCGGGATTGCTTTTATCATAATGTACATGTATATAAAAGAGTTAATTACTCTTTTATATACACGTACATACGATATTAATATTAGTTATAAGAAATATCGCTAATATTATAACAGTAATTGTAGGAAATCATGATTGACATTATTTTATTCTAGTCTTGCTAAATACTTTAGAAATATTGACGGACTTTACGTTCGTAACCAAAAACATCATTCAAATCAATACTAATAATTGTTTTGTAAAAAGCTCTCAGCTGAAATTAGTATACCCCGAAGGAACATCCCACGGCCGTTTCAATTTAATTCGCTAAAGATCGATGTATCTGTGTACATGAGTAACGAGTTATAGGAAACCTATCACGGTTGAGAGCAATGGCTACAAATCTCTGTTTGACTAGATCGAATTCGAATTAGAGTATTGTAAATTAATATTTCATATTCGGAATTGGGACAACTGTGTCTTTATTATTTATTCTTTAGCCAGGATTAAAATAAATGAATCAGTGGTGCTACGACCTTTTTAGGCTTCAGATTTCTGTATCTGTTTCATAGTCATTTGTCAATCTAATAGGCAAGTAGGTGATCAGCCTCCTGTGCCTGATACACGCCGTCGAATTTTTGGGTCTAAGGCAAGCCGGTTTCCTCACGATGTTTTTTCTTCACCGTTCGAGCTCATGTTAAATGTGCACATAGAAAGAGAGTCCATTAGTGCACAGCCGGGGTTCGAATCTATGACCTCAGGGATGAAGCCACTAGGCCAAGTCTAGTATCGTTGTCAGTATCCTTGAGTGCCAAGTTCAGTCCATTTGCCCCACATAAATTACATTTGATCTTCAGTAACGAAACAATATTGTCCGTTTTCGTTGTAATAAAAAAAAATCTTGTCTATATTTACGTAGTATTATTGTCTTTTATTGACATAACTTTTACACATTTAATAAAACACTTTTTGAACGGATTATAGTTATGTAATTTAAACTTATAATTATTTTATCACAGCTGTAGAAAAAGTTATATTATCTGTATTTATTTTCCCGGAGTTGGTATCGACTAAAATAAATACAGATAATATAACTTTTTCTACAGCTGTGATACTTTTTGACATTCATGATTCAACACCTTTTGTCTTCAGTCACCGTGACCACGCACGCTGTAAAGCACGCGAAACGTCGGAAAAAATTTAAATTACATAACTATAATCCGTTCAAAAAGTGTTTTACTAAATATATTTACGTAGTTTATCTTTTAAACTTCCTATATATGTTGACTTTGTCGCTGGTTGTAAATCATTCGAAACACTTTAAATCGTCGATTTAAATAGAAGTTTGAATACCGTAAAGATTTTTATAAATAGAATTTTAATTTACTTTGATATTTATATAACCCAGAAAACGTATACCGGATAATATTGTTGTTGTGTTTTGTGGGCTATAGTTGACCCCTACAAAGTCGATACAAAGCCTTTGTGGACTACAATGTGTAGACAAGTGACCTCTATACATAGACAATGTTGGTATGGATAGTAACAAAGAGTTTTTATGGTTTATATTCAATCGAGGGTGCCTTGAAAATTTATGGAGCCCGCGTTGAAATTTTAATAGAGAGCATCGTAAATAACTAATGAGATCAGAATATGCTATGAAGCCTTAAACAGAAACTCTTTAGGGAGACATTTATAAAGCATCGAACAAAAATCAAGTATTTTCCAGTATTTTATAACAAAAAGTGTTCATGTCTATTATTTATGAAAAATAAATGAATCACATTTGCACCGTTAACTAACGAACTCATCTGTCTCTTTTCATCTCAACGAAAATACAATTTGATAGAAAGGGACGAAAGAGCGCTTAATTAAAAGAGTACATTTAAAATGATTATTTTGGTCAATTTATACAAGTTACTACGAGTATATATGTGAGCGCATTTAAGGTATCTAGTTTTTGTATGTTTCTAATTGGAAGATTTATTGTAATGGCCGTTAGCAGATCTGTTTAATTATATAATAATTATATTTCGTATTTAAATACAATAATGTATATAATTATTTTAATTAGTTTTTATAAGAACACTGTAGTATGATCATCATAGTCATAGATTAGATTAGAATTTAAATAAATAATTAAATTATGTTATAGGTACTTGATATATTCATTGAGCTTTTATGTTTACTGATTTTTACTGGACATTACCCGACATAAATGCCATTAAATAAAATAGACAAGAATTGTTCGTAATTATATATATATTTTTTTCTTTTTGAGTTGGTGAACGCATTCTCTATAGGTCAACAAATAAACATAAAGCATTGTGCTACTATAACAGGTATTCTACTCCTTGTAATTCTAGCGACACAATATGTCTGGTCAGAACCTTTTAAATATAAGACGGGTAAACTAAAGACTAGAAATTTAACGGATCAGTGGGTTCTCATAGAAGTTTACCTTGTAAGCGAGTAGAGATTGAAATGAAAGCTGCACTTAATATCGATTCTCGCTAACGTCGCTTTTCTGTGATGGAAATTGTATACGTTAAATATTCTTAGTGCATAAAAGCAAAACTTGCATCCTATATAAACGAATTTTTGAAACACGACAGCCTTGCAATATTGCTTTAGGAGAAATACTAATCGCCTTTTTCCTTTCGAAAACTATTCATTGGTTAGCTTAAAGTAATTATGTTTTCAATTTAGGGTTTTAGAGTAGAAGACCTGTTATTTTGCGGGTGTTAAAGTAAAGTGTGGTAGGGAGTACCTGCGGACGCCGCCAACACCCGCGGGCGGTGCGGTAGAGTGCGAGACGCCTGGCAACTGCGCGCCGCCCTGCACGCTGCCTTGCGGCGCGCACACACTCCACCCTGTGGTCACCGTGTACACATCACTACAGTATAAATACGGGTCCACGTCCACACGAGCCACAATTATAGCTTTGGTTCAAAGGAAGTCCCGTAAACTACGTCATGGGCAGATATTTCTTGCCTTTACAGGTACTAAGAAATATGTACTTCACTAATCACATATGTCAGTAATTGAAATATCTGCCTCCCGTCAAACTGGCGCTTTAGTAGTTAATGTAATAAATAATTTAAGGTGATTTTCTAACTAATATGCTCTCTAGGGTGGTTGAGCCGGTTGTTCGGTTGCACAGAGCTGTTTACTCAAGTAGCAAACAAGACATAACCTAACTTCAACGCCAGAATAAAGTTATACCCACACGTAGTGTCTCGAGGGATCGTACGTAATTTCGATCAATGCGAAAACAACCCTTTTTATTGTGTGTAAGATTAGGATGAGATAAGTATTCCTTGACTGAAGAAATCTTGTTATTTGTCTATCTACAGGTTACGAGAGTGTGGATGTCTTCGAGTAGAACCTTCTTTTACCCATTTTGGAACGTCAATCAACACGTAAATTCAAAAGCAGTCTAAATATATTTACTGTAGGAGTTATTAGGACATATTTGCCAGTGCTAAAGATAAAAAGATAGTTATTCAAATATAAATTGGATTTTGCCTTGACATATCAATTTGTAATTATTTTACTTCTTTACGTCCAAAAGTCTTTTAATAATAATATTTACCAGGTTTAAGCTATGTTAATACAAAAAAAACAACATTAAGTGCGGTTAAATGGAATGTAAATTAAAAAACAAACTAAAAATCAACTTTGTAAACGAATTAAATATGTTATTATAATCCCGAGCGGATTTTAAAATTAACAATTCGTAGCAATTAAGACTTCCTCTGCAGAATAATACCAAAGCATAAAGGCCACGGAGAAACTCAAGTGAATTTTGCATGCTCCAATAAACCTTTATTCTCCAAGTTTTCAATGAGAATCTAAATCAATACTGATCAAATCTCTAAAATGTAATTTTGCTCGTATTTCAAGTATCGGTCCATTCATAAAAGAAAATAAAAATGTATAGTGTACGTATTGTTTTCACATCGATTGGGTACTTATGAGTTTTATATTGTTCAAGAATTGTTTCCGTTCTATTGATTTGCTTATTGGTCAGCTATATGAAATTATTATTGCACAATTCCGTTGTTATTTTTATTGATTACCTTAAATAGTTTTGGATTAAAATTCGAGATTCAATCACCTAGAGAATCTTTTTGCTTTGGTTTTCTTATTGATATTATATAAGTATGTTTTAGACTTAAGACTGTGATATTTTGTTTCATATTTATAAAACCATTTTCTTTTTCAGTTTAATAAGTGTATACATAAGAATACAAAACAATAATCTTAAAATATAAATCACAACGATGTTGGATTTTAGAATTAATTACATACTACATAACTCAGCAACGTAAATTTAACATTCTTTGAATCTAAAAATATAAACCTTAAAAAATATAAAATAATAACTATAATATATTATTAGAAAGAGTCCCTTTAGGCAAGGTTCCGAAGATACTGGCAGCGTTCCCTCTTTGAATAGCTAGACTTATTCTTTATCTGACGTAGCTGCCAGCTACCAAAAAATAATAATAAGTATAGTATATAATATTGGTTTTTAAATTATCTCTAGACTCTGTGACTAATATTTTGGAATCGGTCTTATTTAGAGCAACAAATAATACTCATTCGTATTTGTCTAAAAGCTTGAAAAATCAAGTGTAAGCAGAACTTTGCTTTTCACTAACTTTGGCTTCCGTTACACAGAAACGTAAAGGACTAAAAGAAATCTTTTGGTTTAAGAATCGCGCCACATTTTATACTTGTATCTGATGCTTTGCCAAATAAATCCAAACGAAAAGAATTTTATTCTGATGTCTGAGCAATTTGCTCGGATTTCCGACGTGTTGTGAAGCGAAGCCGTTTTTAATTATTTTTCCAAATAGTTCAACGTTACTAACAACTCAACATGTGTTCGTTGAAATTTTGATTTCGTATTTATTTAGATTTCTAAATAACGAAACTGTAGGTTTGTTATTTTATATAATTAACCCGTCATAATATACCTTACTTAGTATAGTTTTTTATATAATTTCTCGTCAATATAGGGCAAATTGTCCCAACTGTAATATTGTAAAAAAATTATAGCGAATTGTAAATAAATGTATTAGATAATTCCGTAGAATATAAAAGTAAATTATGATGTTAAAATTGTACCTACACAAAATTGTTATTTTTAAGGAATAAAAGCGGAAATTTTAATGGACTAGCTTAGCTTTAGCCTGTCTGAGCATTCATTAGTATTATGAAAAATATTTCATTTAATAAAGGCGTAAAGTTTGAGCATAAAATGTTTTGTGCTTTATGAAAATGCTGAAACGAAAAAAATATCATCGTAGATAACTAAAAATATATGTATATTATATTTTGATCACAATAAACTTATTAATTACGAATCAATTACCTAATCCGTTTTAGGTTTATACATAAAGGTTTCAAATTTCAGATAGAATAATAATTGGATTATTTATCATTTTACAGAATTAATTTATTAATAATGTCGTTAACATGAAACTAATCATTTTAGAACATATATTGTATTAATTACTGAAAGAAACGAAAATCAAGTATCACAATATCTGATGTAGAGAAAACTCTGGGCGATTACGGGACTTCATTTGCCGCTTATTTCTTACTATATTAATAACCATATATAAATATAAAAGTTATATACCAACCAGCGAGTGCAGTGAGAGTAGCCAACGCAAGCAGGGCGGTGCGGCTGGATGCCATCACATCAGGACATGCCGCGCGAGGCGCGTTGCGTCATCGCCAATACATGCCTTGGCGATTTTCTCTCCACTTCTTTACTAACTCAACCTGTAAACAATTAATCTCGATTACATTTTGAGGGTTTCTAGAAGGTCTAGCCGATGGCGTTCTCGATATAATGTAAATCTTTACTATTTTTCATCATTGCAATGCTGTCACACCAGAGTGGTTGTAATGGCTTACCCATTATTGTAATGGCTTATACATTATTACAGTAAAACCACCTCGCAATATTTAGCAGAAACTACAAGGAATATTCCTTGCATATGCAAAGACACTCGATCTTGGATAAAGATGTATTTTTAAATAAAACGGAAGTAATTCTATCAAAATGTGTATAAATATAATTCTCCGACTAATGAAAAACTTTAGAATGAATTAAAAAAAAACACCACTATATAGTGTTAGTTTATTTGTAAAGATTTTATGGGATTTAATCATTGCTTCCAGCGGCCCGTCAAAAAAGCAAATTGTGTTTTAACAAAAAACTTCATCGGTTTGGTCTCACCACTAGCTATTGTTACAACTCTCTTTTGTTTCTGATTCTCACATAGACCTGTCAATATTTTGACATTGATATGCCGCTTTAGCTGTTATAAATGAACCAATAGGCTGAGATATATTTATATATAAGAAATAAACTCTTAGAATAAAATTGAACGTCTGTGCGGTTATACGGTTAAGTGGGTGTTTAGTAATTGTAACTAATGTTTCTAACTTCGCAGTCTACACCGTAGATTCTTCATTAAATAATATGTGGTTCGCTACAAAATGTCAACGATATAGCAGTATAGATGCAATAATTAGTATCTACTGATGGCGAATAAGTTCATGATTTTTTCTTTAAAATTTCATATTGTACGAATGAAAAATGTCAACTGTCCAAATTTGAAGTTTCTTACGTCTGTGGTATATATACTTTGTATGATAATTATTACATTGATTTATTACTTTCCATTTCATTACGACGTAGTGGAAACAATAATCTTACAAGTTAAGTACGTAGTTTATAAATGGCGCAAGTTGTACGCAATGGCGTAAACAGACATAGCACCCTAAAATCCATAGATTATAGAACTGTGAACGAACGAACGATGCATGGTTACATTTTTTTTCTATATTTACTATTTCACAGACTAAACGTCACAATGTTATTTTACCTTTTATGTGTTTGTTTCTTTGTCATGAATCGTTATTTAACTTATATTTTTAGGTATGTTTATTTAATGTTTAAAGAACTTTATTTCTCATTACAAAAATTTTTTTTTTATTTACATGAGAAATTTAATATTAAGTATATATACGAACGAGATACACGTCGCCATCAGCTAGCCCAATTCTAGTCTAATGGGCCCATTCTGATGTGTGTCTTTAATGCCCTTTTGAACTGATCAATCACGCTAATGTTACGAAGCTTAGACGGCAACCGATTAAACAATTGCACACCCTCATACCTAATAGATCTCTTTAAATAATTTGTGCGCGGCTTTGGCAAGATAAGCAAACTCGCTCGACGAGTATTGCGTGTAGTGGTGTATTTGATTTTATTAAATGATAAGTTACTATGTAGAGAGTTATTTAAAATTTTTTTAATAAGGATACAGGTGCTATAAACATATAGTTGTTTAATCGTCATAATTTTAGTTTCTTGGTAGATTTTATTAGTAGGTGTTAAAAAATTGTATCTGAATAGTGCTTTTATTAATTTATTTTGTAGTGTTTGTATTGTAGAAATTTTGTTTTTGCATGCTGTACCCCATATTTCAATTAGGTATATGAAATGTGGCTTGACTAAACAATTATAGATCAAATGACGTACAGATTGCGGAATGCATTTAGATATTGACCAAAATCTGCCTATAAGTGATTTTAGTTTGGTAATTATGTGTGATATATGAAAGTTCCATTTTAAATTTGTATCCATTCTAAGACCCAGATATTTCTCCCATTTTTTGTTATTGATTTCAACGTCTTGAACTTTAAGCGGTTGAAAGATAGGAATGAGTTTATTTGTTGCCTTGAATATTACATAAGATGTTTTTGAAATATTAATTGTTAGTAGATTTTGTTGAAACCAAGAAGATAGAACATTTAGGTCTGATTGAGCTTGAGCAACCATAGTCTGGATATTTGAACCAAAGTAAAATAAGCAGGTGTCATCAGCGTAGAGAGTGATTCGGCCGTGTAAACCGAGTTCGTGAATGTTGTTAATATATATTAAAAATAACAATGGACCTAATATAGATCCTTGTGGGACGCCGCATGTTATTGGTATTTCTGAACTTTGAGCATTACCTATTTTTACTATCTGGGTTCTGTTTGATAGATATGATTTGAATAATTTTAGTGCACGATCTTTTATTCCTATGCATTCTAATTTTTTAAGCAATAAGTTGTGGCTTACGGTGTCAAACGCTTTTTTCAGATCAATAAAGACACCCAGCACCATTTTCTTAGAGTCAATATTTTGTTTTATGTCGCTAACGAGATCGGCTGTGGCTGATAAAGTGCTGCTTTTTGATCTAAAACCATATTGGCGTTTAAAAATGAAATTGTTAGTTTGCAAGTAAGTGTCAAGTCGTGAGTAAATAATCTTTTCTAATATTTTTGATATTGTAGGTAGAATAGATATTGGTCTGTAATTGCCGGGTTCGGTTTTGGGGCCAGATTTATGGATAGGAGCAACTCTGGCCTTTTTAAGAGAATCCGGAAATTCACCATTATGCAGCAGCTTATTAAAGCAGATCGAGAGATATTCAGAAATATGATCAACTACGCATTTTATTGTTTTAGTATTGATCCCATCTATTCCACTACTACAATTCGTGTTTAGTGTTTTTATTATATTAGTGATTTCAAGTGTTGTGCATGGATTAAAGTTAGATAGTTCAGAGTTAAGACTTTGAGGAAGTGCTAGTGTAAAATTAATGTGAAATTGTGTTGGTATTTCATTGGCTAGTTTTAGCCCTATGGTAGAAAAGTATGTATTAAAAGCAGCACAAATATCGGTTGTTTGAGTTAACTCTTTAGTGTCTATAATAAGTTTGGAAGGTGTGCAATCTTTATTTAGCTTGTTACTAGCCAATTTATTTATTAGACTCCACATTTTTTTAGGGTTTTTAGCGTGTTTAATAAATTCGTTGGAGAAGTAATTATCTTTAGTTTCCCTTATTTTCCTTTTGACCGTATCTCTTGTAGTAGTATATTGTGCTTGAACAACTATATTTGTAGGATCTTTTTTCAGTTCAGCCCATAATTGGTTTCTAAAGTGAATTGCACTAATGACTTCTCCACTTATCCAATCTTTCTGAGGTGGATTAAGTATCTTTTTCTTTACTTGTTTGCATTTCCTTACACAGTCCTTAATCGTATCTTCTAGTAAAGAATAATCAAGTGTTGCTACATCTAAATTGTAGGTCGTGAATAGTTTGTTAAATTTAGCATAGTCAATGGCTTCATATTCAGAGTATATTAACTGCGGGGCTTTGGATTTTTTTAACTCGATATAAAGTTGCCTATGGTCGGACATTCCTGTCTCAATAAATGCCATATGAAAACGGTCACTTCTTAAATTTGAGCACACGTGGTCGATTATTGATTTACGTGTTTTCGAGTCACGTGTACAATATTTTTTCCTAATTTTATTTATGATGTTATATCCAGCCTCGTCCATTACATCCATATACTGCTTAGTTTGTTTTTCATTCTTTTTCACTAGATCTATATTAAAATCCCCAAAGACTACAGCCCTCTTTCTTTCTCTTAGTTGCAAGCGAAGTTCTTCCAAAAACTTTGAGAAGTTTGTATCTCCAGGATTATACACAAGTCCAATTTCGGTGGCATATCTGTCTAATTTGACCCATAGGTAGTTGTTGCCATCTTTATATGTTGACTCCGACAAACTATGTCTAATACTGTTATGGACATAAGTTGAGACTCCACCACCTCTAAAATCCGATCTATAATTGAAATAATGAGTATAGTTTGGTAGACTCATCTCTTGGGCCTGAGTTTCATTAGTGATCCATGTTTCTGTAATGAGTACGATATGAACAGTTTTAGAAATTGTTTTTAAAATGCATTTGAGTTCATTAAATTTGCCTTTTGCTCGGATACTCCTAGCATTAAGGTATAAAAACGATAAGCGTGACTTGTGTGGTTGTAGCTGATTATGGTTTTGCAAAACTTCATAGGTATTTGTATCTGTGTTGAGGCGTTTGGTTGTATTTGTTACTTCGAGTTTTTTGGAGACATTTTGGTAATAGTGGGTATTCCAGATCTGTATTTAATAGTGATGTCAGTATCTCCCGCAGCCTGACGTCGCACTAGTTCATTTTTTAAATTTTGCAAATATTTTTGCTGAGCTGGAGTTAAGTCTGAATAAATTTTAATGGCTTCTGGAAATTTAGACTTGTTACGTAATAAGTATTTAGCCGTAGTATTTGTTTCGTAACAAACTTTGATTCTACGGTTTTTGCCTGGATTAAATTTTCCTATACGAAAGACCTTAAGGGGTTTTGGTAGACTGGGGTTTATGGTGGAAATCAGTTGTATTATCTTATCTTCATCCTTTAACGGTCCTTCCTCTGCGTTGATCGCTATTTGTTCAGGTATACCTGCAATAATGAGGTTTTTCTCCCTTTGATTGCGATCTCGAACCTCATTGATCAGATTTTCATTAGAAAGATGCTTGTCGATAAAATTGTTTGGCAAAGATTCATTGTTAGCCGTTTGATCTTCCACTTGCGACAGTCTGCCCTCCCAGGTACTCATACGAGCTTCAAGAGAGATTATGTCATCCCTAAATTTCCGCGTCACTTCGAAAATTGCAGCGTTGAGGTCGTCCCGCCATTGCTGCCTCAGATCTGCGAGTTTAGTATCCATATATTTTGTCAGCATTTCAGTATCGACGTTTAATGATGATGCTAAACTTGTTTTCGGCGACACGGATGAAGTAGGAG